TATGTATGTGTATGTGTGTGTGTGGCCGTTCTATGATTGCTTAAAGGTGTGGTGACCGATACTTCTGCGTAGCACTCGCTAAGGTTTATTCAGTAGAGTGTCACGCATTGGTATCAGTAGCCCACAGCTATAAGCAATCATAGGTTATTCTGGCAGCCACAGTCAAACACATTGCGAGGACAGTCAGACTATCATATCAACGGACTGATTTCCAGTGCCGTGGGCGTCTCGATGGTGTAAAGGTTCTCCCCGAACCGCACGCACTTCAAACATACATTCTCATAGCCACAAAACACCTACTTCCTATGTAAACACTAGTCAGGCCGTGATGCCTCTATCTTCAAGTACACAGCTCTTACCGACGGGTCAACTCTCCACGGTGGATATGAGCCATGTGTTGACCCGGTGACACCCGTCAAGGTATTTCTCACCGTCGTGGCCAATGCCTCCTTTACCACCATGATTCGGATGATGGATGTTTTCCATGTGCTTCCTCAATCTTGTATATAACTCATGTCAAGAGTTCTCGTCCGCTAATTATGTACAGAGGCACTTTGAAAGGTCAACCCTCGTGGTGGATATGAGCCATGTGTTGACCTGGTGGCACCCGTCAAGGTCTTTCTCACCATTGCTGCCGAGACCTCCCTAACAACCACGGCGCAGAGGATGAATGTTCTCTCATATGTATTCTTTGATTGCAATGAACTAGCTTCTAGCGCCTACAGTAGGTATGTGTGCGCATGTGTATATGCGTGTGAGTGTGTGTATGTGATGTGTGCATGCATTCGTGCGTGCATGTGTGAATGCATGCATACGTGTGTGTGTGTGTATCTGTGTGTGTGGTGTTTTGAAGGCACTTTTCCATAATTCTTATCAATAAACAAGTTTGAAATGTAATATTTGTGAGCCAGCCATGATCGGAAGAGCGCTGTCTCCAGCGAGAATGCAACTTTCATGTACAACATTCTACTCATGGCCACCATGACCAGCAGTGGAGGCTGTATTACAGAAAAATTAACCACCTGCCGCCAGGGATGGCATGTGTGTATAAGCCATACCTACTGTGTTTAATTTAGTAATTGTTGTTACATATAGATGGCTCTACAAGTACTAAGTAAATTATGAGAACTACCTGTCTTACCTATTTACCCTTTTCACTGATTTGCGATAAAATTTATTAGCATCTAATACTGCTGTTAGTAATGTCAATAACAATATAATATTTATAATGTTTAAAACAAAAATAAGTGTCGATATTGATAGCATTAGTGTTTTCCCGCTATTACAAGGAGAGGCGAGATTGAATGATCTACTAATTGACACTTTTGTGGCTAAGCACTGGCAGAGCCATCTATGTGCAGAAACATTTAACAAAACAATAAGAAAGTGGACGAAACATTTTCCCTTTAGCATTGAATTTTTTCTTTTCTTGCAGTGACTTATTTGCCACATACAGATGATATGGTGTCTGTCCAAGGAAAACAGTTTCATACCATCTGGATGAAGGAAATCAAAAGAATGGCTCACTGTGCAAACATCAGACTGTCTGTAGCAGCTAAGGACACTATGGTCTGGGGAGGTGGGTATCTCTGTAGTGTAGTGGAGAGGTTTATTAACAAAGTGATCATGGTGGTAAACTGGTGTAACGAAGCTACATTAATTGTTGTACTGAGAAAGACAAAATATTTATAAATAAACACAACTAGTGTCATTTTGACATTTTACTTGCATCATATTCTTAGCCTGGTAAATAACTGCTCCAGTTTCACACATTTTTTGGATAGCTACACCTTGTAAACTTTTGACTTTCATCAGTGAAGACAAAAGTGGTAAAAATCAGAAAAGATCTTTTCCTGTGGATGCTGATAATAGCAAGGCTAATTCTTGACATGACTACATATTCTGACATCAACACAATAATGAGGCCTATCTAATCTGTTGTATATGCTTTTCGTTGAAATTTGATAGTGCTTACCGGCATTATAATAAAGTCGAAGACAGTAATGTATAGACAAAATTTAAGGTGGGCTTACTAATTAACTCATTGGAGACATAGCTCTTCTGGAACCAACTATGTTAAACAATATCAATTAAAAAAACTATTGTGGACAGTGGATATACCTAACACCAATGGGCTAAAATAAAGGTAGGATTCTTTTTTATAAGTGATAAAAAATGTATGTCAGAATACTGATACAAGTGTCAATTTTGCAAGGTTTTGATCCCTGATTTCTACCACAGAAGTGGTATCAGTCTGCAATCCTGATATAATCATATTACTGTTGAAACTTAAATCTAATAAGTTTTACCTTAAGTACAATATTACTTTTGAAATAGGAAAAATCTCTTGTCTCTTTAAAGACAGACTGAAACAAACTGTATTACTATATCTATTTGAGACACAAAATGAATGTAACTTTTAGGAATGGCTAAGTCAAAGAACGAACAGGGCTTGTTACCGCAAATGTTGAAAAGGAATAGAATTGTATGAAGCAAAGTGTGATGGCCTCCACTCTTCATACTCCCTCAAAGGTTATATGCTAACCTACACTTTCAGTGTATCTTTTTTACCCCGATTTTACCCCTTTTCTCTCTCAGTACTTTGGCTTTTCTCAATCTTGGTCTTTCTTAGTCTGAATACTTACTGTGAAATCTTTTCTTGTAAGTATAAGGTAAGTGTTAAATCTTCAAACAAGGATTGAGGTGAGATGAACATTTTCAGTTGATGCCATAAAAAAACAAAGGAAAAAAATTTGCGCTATAGAACATAATCTGCATAAGCTGAAGGCTTGCATTCATACAAGTAATAGGGAATAGTAACATTTTCTATATATCCATATAGATAAGTTGTGCTACTTACAGAATGCTGTATACACTTGGGGCAATAGTATCTTGAGGCATTCTGCTATTATGCAGTCTATAAAACTATTAACAATAGCTTCTTCCAGCCCTATATGATCAATTATATTCCTGTAATTAGAT